TCAGTTTGTTTGTATTTTTATTAACCAACATAATAATAAAACATGTTCATTGTGCTAAACGTAATAATAATTTGATCTAAGTAAGAGTTTTTTTTATTTCCCGATTTGTAAAAAATTCTTACAGGATAGAAAAAAAAGAATATTATTATCGAAATCTGCGTAACTGAATTATGGAAAATCAGTTATTAAAACCAAAATAACTTTTAACAAGCTTAAATTCATAGGCCTGTATAATAATAAAAGACGAACATATATTTTTGGGAGAGTATTTAATATCGCACATAATATCAATTTTTATTTCATATAAATTCAACAGGTAGCTTATTTAAAGAGTACAAAATTAAACTTTTAGGGTTAGGCGGTTTAAATGAAAATATACATATAATTTTTGTTTTTCATTTCACATTCAGCTGGAACAGATACTTCTCAGTTGATGTTGCGTTGGATGATCCTGTTGCTAGGGAACTATCCAAATATCCAGAAAAAAATGTACGAGGAAATTGAGAGTGCTTTAGGTAAGATAATGAACAGTTTTATTCTGGCATATGCTTGTGTGTTAAATAAGTTATTTTCAAGTTTTATTCGTAAATCTGTACGTTCTTGCTATTAGCATTCACTAGATAAGGTTGGTTTGCCGTTGAGCACAAAGATGCGCAGAAGACTATCTGTGCTCTGCCCAACGTGCCCCATTGAAACACGATTTTTAGCTTTCTGAGCCCCAGACTTACCGCTGAGCCAAGGTGGAACTGACAGGTAGAGATATTTAGCAATGAATGACTTTATATAAATTTGCATAATTCACAGAAACTTAAAGATACCCCATGTAAAAAAATTCTTCAGTTGAAGTTGATATTTTCAGTTTTATGCAGTTTTCATAAGAAATCAGAATACAAACATACATACAGTCCTTTCTTCTTTATTGCAGCATCAGAAGCCAAACACATTAGGTTTTATCAAAGCACATTTTAACTGCATATAATAAACGTACTCCAGAAGAAACATTAAGTAGATTCAGCAGTTAACGGAATCATCAACTTATAGCTTTTAGTATCACTATAATAAATGTAAATAGTCTACATGTATACAAGATTTAAAATATTCTAGGATCTTTAATTCTTGTGGTCATCTGTTCTTTGTGAAACAACTAATGACGAGCATCTATTTCTAGAATTTTAAGGACAAGGTGATTGATTCCAGTTATAAAAGTTAAAAAAATAATACTGGATTAATTTAGACGTATTCTTAAGCACGTATTTTATAAATTATTTTACTTACATTTACCATGGATTATCACTTATACGTGGATTTAAAAGAGCAACATTAACAAATACCAGGTATTATTGTTTGTTTGAAATTAAGCACAAAGTAACACAATGGGCTTTCTGCGCTCTGCCCACCACAGGTATCAAAACCGGGTTTCTAGCTTTGTAAGTCTGCAGACATACTGCTGTGCCACTGGGGAGATCCATTAAAGCTCCATCTCTTGGTACTTTAGCAAATGCTCAAGAAATGTATACAAAACCTATACACTGAAAGCCTAATAGCTAGAGTTAATTTTTAATTTCAAAGTGATTCTTTTCTTTTAAATTTACTAAAACATTTAGTATATCCTATAAAAAGTATTCATATATTTATTATTTTCATTATACAAAGAACAGCATACATAACATGTACAAGAACACAGGTTCGATACTGTGAAAATTAAAAGAAACCAGGAGATCATACAGACCGTTGTTTGTTTGTTTTTCTATTTAGGTAACCGGGCTCCTGTCCAGGATGATAAACATCTGTGTCCTTACACTAGTGCATTCCTTATGGAATCCTTGCGTTTCGGGACTGTTGCTCCTTTTGGTCTTGATCACAGAACTACGGTGGACACTGAAATAGGTATTCCACTTTTATCAAGCCATTTCCAACATATCGTGTGGGGAATAACAATATAATTATGATTATATATATACACCGAATAATACGTTTTTTTAAATACATTGTTTCCGTTGAAGTTCAATGTATCAAAACATATAAATATAATGAAGTTACGGGTAATGTAGATATTTTCGTGTTACATTTATTTTTTATTTAGATTTTTGCATTCAATTTTGTGTTGCATGACCTGGTGGTTAGAGTGTTCAACTTTCAATCTGAGGGTCGCGGGTTTAAATTCTGTCACCTAACAAGCTCGCCCTTTAGAGTTGCTGTCAGGGCCAGCCATCCAAGAGTAAAGATTCCTTACTAAAATGAATCACCTAAGTAGCCGACCCCAAACATGTCCAGTTTACAGTGTCGGAGGTCATGTTTCATTCGTGCTATGCTTAATTGCTATAACTGGACGTTTTGTTCTTATTCAGGGTCGAGGTATTAGATTTACCGACATCAGTACACTGAAACAAAATTTCAAACGTTTGCAATTCTATTTTGTGCATATGGGTTGTACAATAAGTTTTATAGATACATTTGTAATTTTTTAAGGTTTAAAAAAACGTCATTGCAGTTCAGACTGAATAAAAAAAAGCCTATTAAAGAATAAATATTTGTTTTTCACCGAAGTTCCATTGCACTTTATTTTGCTAATAAAACATTTGTTGTAAACGTAACACTGAGCATTTTACATTACATGAATCAGAATATTTAAACTCCTAGATCCTTTGGGAAAAAAAATCTACTTATTTTACAGGTTTAAATAATTCAATTATTACATAATACATAAAGAAGTTATCGCTTTCCTGTAATATTCGATTTACTTTTTAATGTGTGCTTTATGCAATAACAGGACAACATTTTTACTTGAACATCACTTGTTTCTAGATGGTTACAAGATACCCAAAGATACGATGGTTCTGTTCAATTTGTGGGCACAAAATAGAGACGCCGCCTATTGGAAAGATCCAGATATTTTCAATCCAGACCGTTTCTTAACAAATAACAAACTGAAAAACGAACGTTTCAACAGCTACGTTCCATTTGGACAAGGACGTAGAATGTGTTTGGGAGAAAAACTAGCTATGGCCGATCTCTTTCTTATTATCGTTCGTCTTCTCCAGCAATGTCAGATATCTCTTCCAGATGGCGCTGAATCTGCACGCTTAGACCCACAGCCCGTCTCTCTTGCTGCAATTCCCTTTCCATATAAAATTGTGGTTACCTCAAGAAATGGACTAGTTAAGTAAATACAAGATCTACGATATACTTTTCCTTTAAAAAACAGCAAATTATCATTATGTAGTTAGCCTTCTAGTTTAAATCCAGTTACTGAAATACATAAAGATAAACCGATTTCTTGGTTTTAATTATAACTGGTTCAACAATTAAATGTTGATTTTGTTTTGAACACTGTACTAGGTGTTTAGGAAGTTTAATAATGATCCATCATGATGTGATTTGTTTTAAATTTGTTCTCTGTCGAAATATTTGTTTGTCTAGATGGATATAGACTTACACCACGATCATTTCTGTGTTATTGTGTTCAGTGCTGACACTAGATATATAATAGCTTTAAATTTTATTAGAAGATACTTTAAACTGTGTAATGCGTTTAACATTCCTTCGAAAAGTGATTTGTTTTAAGATACTCTGTAAATGTTTTAGGCAGGTTCGAAAATGAATATAATTTGTTTTATTTTTAGATCACTGTTATGTAATATTGTTAAGATTAAGATTATGTAGACAAACATTCGCTTTCAATACAATAAACGATATTAATATCTGAAAAATAAACCATGAATTTTTTGTTTGTTTGTTGTTAAGTGTAAAGCCACACAAGGAGATGATCTGTACTCTGTCCACTCTGGGTATCGAAACCTGATGTCTTTTGCATTATAATCCCCGAGACTTACCACTAATGTACCAGGAACATTAAACCTTGAAGCTTAGAAGATACACATTACATTATGTCACACAAACCAGTATCAAACTGTTAATATTTCATACACTATACAAAGAAAACAATACAAATAGTCTTTCCTAAACACAAGCTTGTGAAAACTAAAACACAACTAATTGTGGTAGTGATAAGAACATACAGTATCAAACTGTTAATATTTCATACACTATACAAAGCAAACAATACAAATAGTATTTCCTAAACACAAGCCTGTGAAAACTAAAACACAGCTGATTGTGGTAGTGATAAGAACATACAAGTTTTGGGTGTTTTATAGCAACGTAAATGAGGTGAGTAATTAGCATGGCACCATAGAGACGAAAGTGTGCCATGATATGTAATTAATATATATATATATATATATATATATATATAAATTAATGTATAATTAAGGTTTTATTAATCAAAGGTAGATTAATTAATTAATTAGATGTAAATGATGTACAAATTAATAATATCGAATTAATGGCATATTAACACTTTCAATACGAGTTTGGTCAATTTGACCGACCACGTGATCTTTTTGTACTATCTTAAATGCTTTATACATTTAATTCTTATAACTCTCAATATAGTGGGTATATCTTCACGAAATTTGGCACTTTTTCAGTTAATATTACAGGTCTTTCACATACAAAAACTCACATTTCTTAGAGAAGTATTTTTAATAAAATAAAATAAAATTTTGTCCATGAATATATTGTT